GGTACACATAGAATGGTCCGTAAGCTTTCCGGTAGGTTGTCATGGTCCTGGCCCGAATGTAGATAGCTGCAGGTCTAGGTTCATGCCGTGGAAGTGAATTACAGAGTGCAACGATGTTCCCGCCCAAAAGAGGGAACAGGGGCTGTTGTCGCCCGAATAAAACGCCCGGTCATTACAGCCGTGTTTAGTGCAACTTTCAGTCTACATTCAGCGATAATACCACACGTTCTATTTGAGTGAAGATGGTAGTGCGCTGGTAAAGAGAGAGAGCACCTGGGAAGAGGTAGTATAGGGGAGAGGTAGGTCATGAAGGTTCCAGCTGGAATGTAGATAGCTTCTGGACCAGGTGGAGTTTCCACCTGGTCCTGAATTATGGACCGCAGTCATGGAAAGTCCATGACTCCACCTGGTCCAGAAGCTATCTACATTCCAGCTGGACCTCTATGGGTGCCCTGGACCCTCCCAGGCCTGGAAACTCCACCTGGGAGTGAATTATGGACGGCAGTCATGTTCCTAGGAGGGTCCAGGAAACTACGCAGGATGTTCCAGGCCTGGGAGTGAATTATGGACCGCAGTCATGTTCCTGTTAGAAGATGGAACATCCTGTGAGATTCCAGGGCACCCATAGAGGCAGAGAGCAGCTGGGAAAGGGTGGTGGAGATGGAGAGTTTATAGTAGATCGAGGGGTGCAATGAGTAGTTTGGGCTTTCACCTGGCAGTTATGCCGCTTCGACGCCTGGAGGGAGAGTGAGGAGCCATGGGTGGAGGAATGAGAACCTGCGTGCGATGAACATGGCCTCCATGCCATGGAGGATGGGGTAGTAGGAGGCAGAGGCCCTATGCTATGGTGGTAGAGGGAGATGCACCGCAAGCAAGGCCATCGAGGTAGTGGAAGCGAAGAGTACATGCAGACAATGATGGAGGAAACTGACAAAAAGGGGGGGAGGGGGAGGGGGGAGGGAAGAGAGAGAGAGAGAGAGAAAGTGTGTTTCGTTACAACCAGTAATTGGGTATTCATAAGTTCGCCGGTCTAACAGAGGTTCTAGGACCGTGTATACGGCCGCATATTTGTTTTTCAAGTCGGCAAAGGTACTGGTGGGAGACAGAGAGAACCTGTGGGCGATTAACACGACCTCTATGGCCATGGAGGTTGGGGTAGTAGGAGGGAGATGGCCTATGGTATGGTGGTAGAGGGGGATGCCCCTCAAGCAAGGCCATTGAGTTAATTGAAGCGAAGAGTACATGTACTAGACAATGGAGGAAACTAACAAAAGGTATATATTGTCACAAAGATGTTAGAGCGCAAAAGCGGAAAAAAAAAACAAGAAAAAATCAATTCATTTTTTAGCTTCTTACTTGCAACTCCCCCTGTTCAAAACCTCTTGGGTACAAGGCCACCCAAGTGTAGGTCGAGGGCGGCTGCCCCCACCCTGGGGTGTCATATCGATCCAGTTGTACACAGCCAAAGGGCAAAGTGGCAAAGAAAAGAGGAAGGAAACAGCCGTACATAACAGGTCGGTGTTTGCTGCCCCCACCCCCGTGTGTCATATCGATCCACTTGTACACAGCCAAAGGGCAAAGTGGCAGAGAAAAGAGGAAGGAAACAGCCGCACACAACATGTCGGTGTTCAACAACGCTGGATCGTCCAGAGTACTGATGAGATGGAGATTGACCTGAGAAACAATGCATCCTCTCTTCTCGGCATCTCTCCTCACACGGTTGATTTTACCACAATGTACAACAACCTTTCTCATGACCGCATTTTGAATGATGTGGCAAAAACTGTTGATGAAGCTCATGCTTATGCCCTTTGGTGAAACCCATGCTTATGCCCTTCAGCATAGTCGCTCGCATCTGCGCTGCAGAACTCTAAACGTAGTTATTCGAGGACCTTGCTCTAGCCACTGGACAACCGATTAAGCCCGGACACCCTTCGCGTTTCTCAAATTCTCCAACATCTTTGCTTTGTTGTTTGTTTTGTATACTAGAGATGGCACTCTTCGAAAGCAAGTCGTCGGTATTCCAATGAGAAAAAATGCTGGCCCAGAAATTTCTAATCTGACGTTCTTTTGGGATGAAGTACGCTTTGTTGATGACATTCGTGAACATGATCTCCAGGCCGCTCAGCGATACACCTTCACCTATTGCCTCATTGATGATATTTTTTCATGGGGGCAATTACCTTCTCCTCCATAACACTATGGCCTCGAGTGGAAGGAAACTACGATGACAAATGGCTTGTGCACCGTTTTAGGTATGCATCTACGCGTACATTCTGATGGCTTGCTTCACATGAAAGCGGCTGCCTGGGATTTCCTTGGCATTTGCTATCCAAATGCTACCTCCAACATCCGTTCCCATCATCTGGCAGGTGTGTTCACTGGGCAATTGACCAGATTTGAACAAATCTGTAACAATTGGCAGGACTTCCGAACTGCGGCGACAACACTTGTCGCATGATTTCTCGTGGGCATTCCGCACCAACCCTTGCTAAAGGGTGGGCCTGCTACATGCGTTCCCGCCAACGTCGCTATCGTACTCAAGTGACGTGTCTCTCTCAGTGGTTCCGACCCATGGTGCGATGGTCCCTGCATCATCCTTGCATCATCCACTTTCTTCTTTGCATCATAAACCTGCTACATGCGTTCCTGCCAACGTTGCTATCGTACTCAAGTGACGTGTCTCTCTCAGTGGTCCCGATGCATGATGCGATGGTCCCTGCATCATGCACTTTCTTCTTTGCATCATCCACTTTCTTTTTTGCATCGTGCAATTTCTTCCTTGCATCATCCACCTTCTTTGCCCCCACGTCGCTCTCGTCGTGGCCTTGCTTGTTCGTCTGTTGCCACTGCAGTTTCTTGTGCTGTGGTTTCCACTGCTGCAGTTTCCATCGCTGCAGTTTCTACTGCTGCTGTTTCCACCGCTGCAGTTTTTACAGCTCCGGTTCTCACTCCGATAGTTTCTGCTACGGAAGTTGCACCTGCTGCAACTTCCTCTGATGCTGTGGCCGGAATTCCTCGAACTATACTTTTTGCTGCTACAGCTTCCTCTACCCAACTCCTGCACAAAGAAGCTCGTAGTCTCTCCGACACTTGCGTCCTATGTTTTGAAGTCTTGCACAATCCACCTCCCTTTCATCCCTTTTTGCGCTCGGCTGCAGACGGCTGCGTTTCTTCTCGCCACCCCCGTCCACTTCACGGTCTCGATTGAGAACAAATTCTCCAATTTCCATCATTCCCATTGTTCTGCCTTCATTGCGAGGGACATCCTCATCTTCTGTTTGCACCCTTCTTTGTGTATTGTCAACGACATGCGCGGCATCGTTATTTGTCCACGGAGCAACAACCTGTTACTTTGTCTACCCCAATCCTCTCTATGCCTGCTCCACAGGTTGTTGTGGTTCTTTTGTTACAAACAGCTGCATCCTCTCTCCCAAATCCAGGGATAGTCCCTACTCAGGATGCGGTCCCGAATCTGAGGGATTGGAACATGATCTGCCCGGATGGAAGTTGACTCCACAAGGTGTAGACCACATGGGGGATCTGCAAATGGCTGACCAGCATCATTTGGACAAACCACAAATCTGTGCCCCTCCACGCGCAGACCACATGGGTGATCTGCAAATGACTGACCAGCAAACAACCCAAGACAGTTTGGGCTTGCAACATCATCTGGGGGAAGATCAACATCAAGCCGAAGGGCAATTGCTAGGAAGTTTGACAGTGTATAAAACGGGCGGTGGAGAATGTGAAGACAGATATTAGTTGCCGTGCTGGAGCAGGTGCGTGGTTTAATCCTCGTGCGTGGTTTAATCCCCGACCCCACATATCTGCCTGCATTGGGCACGGACTTGGCCATGACATGGCCGTTGTACATGCCTTTGACCACTGGGAGCTGTGGGACAACGGCACCATGGTCCATGCCACGACTGATGGCACTGATTTCTTACATAATGATGCTGTTTTCTTGGCACAACAAACTGTGATCTCTTTTACGTCGAAGATCATTCCCTTTGGCCGCGTGCTGTAGCAAGACGATGTAGCCACACTCTGCGACCTTCTCCTTTGCACGGCGACGAACACTTTCACTCGGCTGTAGCCGCCATCGTCTCTGTCACAATCACTACAATGACATGGTTTCTGCATCCATGTGTGCAGAGGACTGTCCCTCCTCCGTTCCTGACTGCAGGCACCCTCCGCATCCGGACACTATATGTGCATTTTGCGGCCGTGGGCGCTATAGTGAATGCATGGTCTTTTGTGGTGTCCTTTCTTCCTTCATTTTCGCCTGCAATCGACATGCCATTTGTCGGGGGTGTATCATGGGCATGCTCAATGCCAGCCGCCGTGGCAATTCTTGTACTGAGAATGCTCAGCTAGGTCTTCCGTGTGTTCATCCACCTCATCCTTACAATGTATGTCACCTCGGTGCAACGACAGCCTCATTCTTAAGCCTTTTCTTATCCTCTTTTGTTTATCTTCACTCCACAGTTCGTACTTTCCCTTACTTTCCCTTTATCATTCCTTCATTCCTTGTTCGTCTTCTCTCCATCTCTCTTCCCTGTGTTTCCCTTTATCATTCTTTGTTCGTCTTCTCTCCCAACTCTTTTCCCTGGGTTTATCTCCTCCCCCTTCACTCTGCCTCTTTCTCACAGCGTACAAGTGGGCTGTTATGGCACATGGGGATGAGGGCAGCTCGCGCTCAACTGCATCAGCGTGGTGAGCCTTGTATGTGAGAGGCATAGTATAGGGGGAGTTAAAAGAAGAACGAGAAATTGAAGGTTTAAATCTGCCTTCGGAGGCTTTGTTTCTTATTTTTTAATCATTTTTCTTTTGTAAAGTGCGCTCTTTTAGTTCATAGCTATGTGACAATATATATGCGCCAACACATACACATGCTATTTGTGATTGTGCGTGTTTGTTGTCGGACTGGTGTCGCAACCTGAGCAAGACAAGCAAACAAACTGACCGAGAACAGAATAATTTTTTTATCTTGGCAGGTGGTCTTGGTCCTCAAGCAAACAGTATTTGACCAAGTCAACAATCATGTCGATCGTTGCGTTTGCCGTGTCGAAGCAGCCGACCCATCCCTACGATGGACAGAAGCCGGGTACTTCTGGTCTGAGGAAGAAGGTGACCGTCTTCCAGCAGCCAAATTACCTTCACAATTTCGTGCAGGCCTCATTCAATGCACTGCCTGCGGAAAAAGTGAAAGGGTGCACCCTCGTCGTCTCGGGTGATGGTCGGTACTTCTCGGATGACGCTATTCAGATTATCGTCAAGATTGCTGCAGCGAATGGAGTCGGCAGAGTTTGGATAGGAAAGGACGGGTTGCTGTCAACGCCGGCAGTGTCTGCAGTGATTCGCAACAGATTGACGCCAGAGGGGGGTAAGGCGTATGGAGCGTTCATCCTCACAGCCAGCCACAATCCGGGAGGTCCGACGGAAGATTTCGGAATCAAGTACAATTGTGAAAATGGCGGACCCGCACCCGAAGGGCTCACGAATCAGATCTTTGCGAACACGAAGACTATCACGGAGTACTCGATTGCCGAAGGCATCCCCAGAATCGACATCTCCTCAATCGGAACCAGATCGTTCGTCGGTCCAGATGGTCCCTTCGAGGTGGCGGTCATCGACTCCGTGGAAGACTACCTGGCCTTGCTGAAAACCATATTTGACTTCACTGCCCTGAGGTCTCTGTTCTCTCACCCCGACTTCTCATTCGTGTTTGATGCCATGCATGGGGTTGGCGGAGTTTATGCCAAGGCCGTCTTTGTGGACGAGCTTGGTGCCCCGGAGAGCAGTCTGATGAACTGCGTTCCTAAGCCGGACTTCGGCGGTGGGCATCCCGATCCCAACCTGACGTATGCAAAGGAGCTGGTTCAGAGGATGGGATTGGGCCAAACCGCCCCGGAGTTCATTCCAGAGTTCGGTGCCGCAGCCGACGGGGACGCGGATAGGAACATGATCCTGGGTAAGAAATTCTTCGTTACCCCGTCGGACTCGGTGGCAATCATCGCTGCGAATGCTGTCGCTTCCATTCCGTATTTCTCAGGTGGATTGAAAGGAGTTGCGAGGAGCATGCCCACCTCGGGTGCTTTGGACGTAGTGGCGAAGAAAGCGAACCTGAAGTTCTTCGAGGTTCCTACCGGATGGAAGTTCTTTGGGAACCTGATGGATGCTGGCCTCTGCTCGGTCTGTGGCGAGGAGAGCTTTGGTACAGGGTCGGACCACGTTAGGGAGAAGGACGGGATTTGGGCTGTGGTGGCGTGGCTGTCGATTCTGGCTCACCTGAACAAACAGGAAGGCGTAGGGAAGAAGCTGGTCACGGTTGAGGATGTGGTGAGGGCACACTGGGCAGAGTACGGGCGGCATTACTACACCCGTTACGACTACGAGGGCGTGGACTCGGACGCTGCACAGTCGCTGATGAAAGGGCTCGTTGACAAGCAGGCATGTCTCGAGACTTTGAACAAGACTGTGTCGGCTATCAGGTCGGACGTGCCAAAAATAGCGCATGCGGACGAGTTCGAGTACAAGGACCAGGTTGATGGCAGCATCTCAAGTCATCAAGGTATTCGGTTCCTGTTTGAAGATGGCTCTCGTTTGATCTTCCGCCTGTCGGGTACCGGATCGTCTGGTGCGACCATCCGCCTCTATATTGAGCAGTATGAAACTGATCCAAAGAAAACAGGAAGAGATCCTCAGGAGGCTTTGTCCCCTCTGGTGGAAGTCGCACTGCAACTTTCTGAAATGGAGGCATTGACAGGCCGCTCTGCCCCAACCGTCATTACGTAAGAGGGTTGCCAGTTTCGATGCAGAACTCAGAGAGAGAGAGAGTGTACTCGCGCAACGACTTCCTTAGATGCATATCCCCATTTACACCTATCCCTGGATCTATCTGATGTATATCCAGGGCGGAAATCAGTTTAAATTTTAGTGTGAGTATGCCTGAAAATGGGGGTATAAGTTACATTTACTACCCCAAAACCCGGGGACGTTTGCCAAAGGGCTCGCAAGAGCTGGGTACCCGACCGAAGGCGCTGAAGGCGCCGTTTGAGTCTCTAGATGAGTTAGAGAGGGGGTTCTGGTTCCAATGCACATTTCCTTAGGTGGCTAGTCTGTCTGTCTTTGTCTGTTTTTGTTGTGTTTGTGGCAAAATATTGCAAGTAGTTTGTGGATTGAAGGTAGGGTTGGTGTGGTAAGTTCTGTAGAGCATTTACGGTAAACTGGATCTGACAACGCGTAAATTGGCGTGCTGAGATCTGTAGAAAACATTCATCGTTGACTGGACCCGATAACACTTACATGCGCAGGCGTGGTGTGGGAGTCGCTTTTTCGTCATGATGTGGGAGAAGTCTCTCATAGGTGAAGGATGACGATTAGGATGAGAGAGAGGTGATTAGTATGCGAGAGAGGACGAGGAGTAGGTTGTGAGAGAGGACGAGGGTTAGGATGTGCTATGTGACTTTTGTGGGAAAGTCGTTTGATCTTGCAATCCGCCACTGAGAGTGGAAGGAATCTTCGGCTCAATCTCCTGTGGGTTTGAATCTTTTGCTAGATGTGTGTGTGTGTGTGTGTGCGTGTGTGTGTGTGTGCGTGCATGTGTGTGTGTGTGTGTGTGTGTGTG